TAAACCTTATTAAAATCCTTAATCACCATGAAAACCTAAATCTCATTGTTAAATAAAAAACAGTTTGAAAATAAAACATTCTAATAAGGGAAGGGATCGTTAAAGGGGAAAAGAAAAAGATACTTCCCTTATAAATATCTAAGCCAAAAAACACTGGTCAATATTGTTGAAAGGTGTTTGAGAATACTTCGCGGTATCATAATATAATTTTGTGTTCGAAATTAGAAACAAATTTTTATTAAACAAAGAAGGGTTGAGAAAAACTTGAAGACAGCCCATAAAATGAATATTTATACTTAGTACTCAAAACGTGCGTCAAATTGTTAATGATTACAAATCAATTGAACATTTTAGGAAATCTGACTCGCCAAAAGGTATTACAGGACTTATTATTACCTAATCTAAATTTCCTTATCCTAATAAGGTCATATCGCTGTAAGTGCAATATTGATTGAGGAGCTGACTTTATTGACTTTATGCAAAAGCAGGATTAAACCAAAGCAAAAATTCTTATGATTAAGTCCAGATATATAACGAATCATGTATACTTAATGAGTGAGTGATCGGATTTTCGTGATGCCGCCATATGAACGTCAAAGATTGATTACAAGATCAACTGCAATTATATAAAAATATTTTAATCATTTTGTCATTAAAGAAGCGTCAAAACATGAAATTAATATTTAATAAAGTACTATGTTTGACATGTTTGATTGTTGAATAGCTAAAGTTCGAAATTAAAATGTGTTTACCGATTCTTTAGCTGTTCCAGTAAAGAATGGTAAAGAACTTTAATTATTAATGAACTTCCGTTATTGTAAAAAAACATAGAAGCCCTTCTTGTTTAATTACATAACATAAATAACGTGTTATTTTTACCGAAGAAAACAATTTTCGTACATCAATAGAAGAATTATAACATGTTAAAGAGCAACAATGGACATTGCTAAAAGAGAACATGTATTAGGTATTATTGTATTGGCGGGATGCAATAATGTCATCATCAAATTTATTTCGGATGAAGTGTTTTTTTCCCCATTTACAACGTAATAAAATTTTGATAAAATCATGAAAAACATTGAAAATGTTAAGTATACATATTTGCTAAATAAATAATTTTCTTTTTTATAAAAGACAAATGGAATGTTTAGCTGTGCAAAGCACAATAATTTGGAGATTGGCATATGATCGGATCGCAGTTTGCTAACATTCCTAGTCACGTGCGAAAACCGTTTATTTATAGTTATTTTGGCTTGACATTTTTGAACGCGCTTTGACAAGATATTGGATATAGCAGCGGAAAAAGGATGATTGGCACAGTGTAATCCTGAAAGGATCAACGAGAGACTTTTTATAGTGTTTCCGTTGACTTTAGAAGGATAATAAACTATCATCAGTTTTGGTTGAAGTGGTTGGACCTCATTACGTAATTGCACCTTGTGTGTCTGACTGTACATAATTCGCTGATATATGTGGCCCATATATGTTATGGACGAGATTGATGCGGCCTTGGATTTTCGTAATGTTTCAATCGTCACAAATTATAGGTGTTATAGACCTCCGCAATATGTAGGGTTAGAAATGTCGCCGACAAGTGATAGATTTCAGTTAAAGTATATGCACGAACTAATTAGAATACAAATGCATTTATTGACAAACACAATTAGGAAATTATGCTAAAATTCTATACTTTCGATCATAAGAATTAATTATCTTTTTTCAATAAAATTTCTATAAATTAATAAAAGGGAAGCTAAGTTAAGAAAATATCAACACATGATTTAGAACATAAATAAATAAATTTTGTACGAATACTTAAAATAAAAGTTTTCGGTATATTTAAGATAATTAAAGTTATAAAAGTTATAAAGCCAAGATTAATGATTACCGCAGTATCTGATCACAATATCACATTTGATTTGTTCCGCTGCATTTTCGGAGTCTTTTTCCGTTGATCCAATTTTGGTCATGATATTTCCTTTTATATCCCTATTGAAAAATTAATTTAAATATTACAAATTATTCGAAGATTTTTTTTAAATAATGGATAAATTAAACGAATTCCACAAATTAAATGTCTCTGAAAATAATAAATGTTCTTATTGTGATAAACCTTTTACAGAGAAATTATGGTGTAAAGAATGTGATCCTTGGTGTATAATTGAAGGTTGGACTAGTCGAAATTCTGACATTGATAAATTCATCAAAGATACTATGTATGATGCAAGAAATGATAAACATAAATATCCAAAATTTCTTGAATGGGTGCCTTTTGATAGATTCACAGGCATAAAAGAAATTGGTGAAGGAGGATTCGCCAAAGTGTATTCCGCAACATGGATCGATGGTAAATCGGAATTTAAAAAGCGAGATGATGGAACTTGGAGAAAATTATATCCTCAACCTATGGAGGTTGCTTTGAAAAGGTTAAATGGATCACAAAATATTTCAGCCAATTATTTTAATGAGGTATTTTAAATTTACATTTGATATTTATTAAATATAATATTTCTAATTTTATTAAAAAAACTAGCTTAAAGCACATTGGGATTTATATAAAAATTATCCACTTTCATTAAATTTTTATGGAATAACTAAGGATTCAGAAACAGAAGAAATTATTATAATTATACAATTTTTAGCTGATGGAAATTTGAGAAGTTGTCTTTGTTGTCTTTCAAATAATTTTAGTAATATTTTATGGAAAGAAAAAATTAAAAAATTAGTTAATATTACTATTGATCTCAAAACTTTACATAAGTTAGGATATTGTCATAAGGATTTTCATAGTGGAAATATCTTGCAAGATGAAAGATTTTCTTATATTTCAGATTTTGGATTAACAGGACCAGCAGATAAGCAAAAATCAGATGATCGAATATATGGAGTATTACCATATATCGCTCCAGAAGTCTTGAATGGAGAACCATATACTTTAGCTTCTGATATCTACAGTTTTGGTGTAATTATGGCTGAATATTCATCTGGAAACCCTCCATTTTATGACAGAAAACATGATTATAAATTATCTTTAGATATTTGTAATGGACTTCGTCCAGATTTTGGAAAAGGAACTCCAAAATTTTATAAGAAATTAGCTTATAGGTGTATGAATGCAAATCCAAATCAAAGACCATCAGGCGATGAATTGAAGAATACATTATGTTTTTGGTTTTATTCTTTTAATATTTATAAAGATACTAAAAAATATGGATATTATGGAAAAGAAATAAAAGAAGCATTTGAAGAAGCTGATAAAGAGATACCAAATATTTCAATTAGAGAGCAACAAAGAAAACTTCTCCAAGGAATGAGACGACCAAAATTAGAGGGAAATATAGCACAAACCAATCCAACAGAAGAAGGTGAAAGAACTATGGCATTGAGATGTCATGTTAATATCAAACGGAACTCAGTAGTAGCAATTATTGATACTGGAGCAGCAGTTAGCATTATGACGAAAAAGCTAATGAAAAAACTTGGATTGACAATTCAAGAAGCATCACAAGTGATT